CCCTCCTCTGGACCCGCTCCAACAGGTCCGTGTCTTTCTTATGCTGAGGGCTCCAGAGCTGGACGCAGTACTGCAGGGGGGGTCTCCCCAGAGCAGAGCAGAGGGGCAGAATCCCCTCCCTCGACCTGCTGGCCACGCTGCTTTGGATGCAGCCCAGGATACAGTTGGCCTTCTGGGCTGCAAGCACATGTTGCCAACTGACGTCCAGTTTTTCACCCACCAGTACCCCCAAGTCCTTCTCGGCAGGGCTGCTCCCAATCCCTTCATCCCCTAGTCTGTACTGATACTGGGGATTCCCTCGACCCAGGTGCAGGACCTTACACTTGGCCTTGTTGAACCTCATGAGGTTCACATGGGCAGAGAAAGGGCCATGCCTACCTTCCAGAAAGGCATCCAGGCATGCTTTGAAGAGAGAAGGCAACGAACCCTCTCCTGTTTCCCTATGGATGGGTTGAAATAATGCGTCCGTATCCCACCAGGATGGACAGAAAGCAGCGGAGAGACCTGGAGCTCAGGAGGATCCTCTGGCTTTGAAGCATTGCTCTGCTTGTTGCATACCTCTCCCAACGCTCCTCACTGCCATGGCAGCACCTTGTAGGAGACGGGGCTGGAGGGCCACTGTCCCGAGCAGCGTACGAAGGCAGTCTGGCTTGGTCCCGAGCAAAGCATGAGCGTGCGTGCGACGTGCTCCCAAGGGAGTAATTTAAGGTGTTTTGTGAATACACTCACTGGTTTATCCTGAGCCGCGGTGTCTGGTGTGGCTTCTTTTTCCACCTCCCAGATACGACCAGGAAGGAAATATTGCAGGAAAACAAAACGGATCTGCTCCTGCAGGCTCTTTGTGATGTTTGCAGGGAACGTAGCTGGCCTGTGATTTAAACTCTCCTTGAGATCTAAGAGATAGATAGGATTTAAATTCTTGCTTCTGCTCTGCTTCCCCTCTGCAACCAGGATTTGCTTTTCCAGGAGCTCCACATCTCGTGTGCTGGGGGTTTTGTGTAAGAAATATTGACCCTACGTCCTTGCTTCTGTTTCTTTTACCCCCATTTTTTTTGCTTATGATCCCTTAGTTTCTTGTCTGCTCGATTTGACTCAAGTTTTGTGGGCAGGCGTTGACAGCGATGAGCAAGAAGGGCTGCTCAGCCCTGCCCCTCTCTGCTGGGCAGCTGTGCCCAGGCCTGTGTGATGTATAGGGGACGGCCTATAGACCACTATATAGCACCTCTACCTACATTTGGAGACATGATCTCGAGTGTCAGAAGATGGTTTGCTGGCTCCTCAGAGGTGCTAGGACAAGATTTAAGCGTCCTGATGACTTCCAGGCTCTGGACCGAGGTGGGTGCTCCAGCACTGCAGGTCTGTGGAAGCAGAGGGTTGAGTCCTTGTCCCTTCTCCAAGCGAATTGCAAGCGTGAAACCCCCGGGGCCGAGGCTCAAGCGGGACAGGAGCTGCGGGGGGGGCTGGCACCGCTCCCCAGGGCTGGGCAGGGAAGGAGGGACAGGCTGAGGACCCTCCAGCTTGTTTCCTGCCTGGGCTTTGCTGGGTGGGCCGGGCAGCACACCGGCGGTTAGCAGCCACGGTGGAAAAGCTCTAACTCATCCTGCCAGATCTGTCGAAAGAACGGCTGCAAAAAAAAAAACAACCCCCCAGGCTCCTTGCATCCTGCTGCCAGAGGCACCCCTGCCGAAACCCTTGCCCATAAATCACGTCTCCTGCCAACCGGCGCTGCCGCAGCGGCCCCTGCCTGGCTCAGCACCGGTTAGGCTGAGCTTAGCTCCGTCCAAGGCAGGAGAAATGGTCCAACGATGCTTAGTGGGGGCGCAGCGCTGTGGGCTTTGTCACCTTCCCCTCCTCCAGCCAGGATGGTGATGATGGTTACGGTCAGAGGTCTCAAGGGGAAGCACGTTGGAGGAGAGGCAAGGGCTGGCTGTGGCTGGGCTAAGACGCTCCGTGGTTGCTTTGCCTTCCTGGTCTTGCTTTTGGAAAGCCTCACGGTGGGTAATGCTAAGGCTCAAGCAGCTACCGAGCGTGCAGGAGGCAGAAATGCCTCCCAGTAAATTCCTTGGCTTTTTGCTGCTGGGCTGGGGGAGATGCCGACACATGAGGACGGTAGATGGAAAGAACAAAGACATGCAAGACTGGGAGGATTTCATGGTTTTATTTGCCATGCCAGGTCATTGCCTTCAAATCGTTACACAAAAATCATATCTTCTGGTCGGAATAACATTTCTAGACCTCACGACCACAGAGGGACAAATGCAGGAATATAACCAGAGTGCCCCTTGGTAACTCAGTAGTCAGAGATGGACAAAATAAATCCCACCTCAGAAAACCTGCTGGTTGAAATTGCTGAGACACGTGGAGCAGGAATCTGCCCTGGCAGGGAAACGGATGTACAGAAGGTGGAAAGGGGGGTCATGCCCTGCAATCTCGGGGGGCCGAGGCGTGTAGACACGGTGCGGTGGCCCATACAGATTGGGCGAGCTGATGGAAAATGAAAATACCCCCAACTGGCATCGCTGGCACCCACATTTATCTGAAAAAACGCCCTTCAGGGATGTTTTCCTATCTGGTTAGCGTTGCTTGGCTTCCAACCCCATCTGGGTAATTTGCTTGCGCCGACCGCTGTTTCACTGACCTCCGGGCCAAGTTACAAATAGTTTATTTAAAAAAAAATCTTTTGTGGGTCCCGGAGGATGGGAACGTTTCAGATGTGCCTAATCAAAGTGTGTTTGCAAGGGAATTGTGCGGTGCCTGCTCTTGAGAAGCGTCTGCGAGGGACCAAACAACAAAGTGAGCCAAATTAGTTCATACTCAGTGGCCTTGCAGCGCAGAACGTGCACGATGGGTTGTCTAACATCACCTCCTCTCTGAACTCAATATTTCCAGGGAGGAAAGGAGTCCCAGCAGGAGCCTCTGGCTCATCTTTGCAATGAGCCAGGCAGATGATAAGTAGCTCAGTAGCCCTGAGCCTCTCCAGGAAACCTCAGCCTGAAGGTGTTTGGAGCCCACGTGCAGCATGAAACATTGTCCTATTGTCCTGTTTGACACAGAACTGGAAGCAAAATCGTGACTTTTTTACAAATGTAGTATCTGTGGCATCTTACAAAGGCCACAGTTTTCACCTATTTCAATATAAGGTTCCTTACCATGCTATACCAAACTCATGGACCTGTTTAGAACTTCTTGTATGGATCCTTACGTCTCAGGCAGAAGACTTTGCAGGTCCCCAGGTGATAGAGCAAACTTCTACCGGTGGCTGGTGGGCCACCCTGGGCACGTTCAATTGTGCGGAAGAAACCCCTAAAATAGCCCACTCACAACTTCCCCCATCGCTATTTTCATCTACAAGGTCACAATTTCAGAGTGAACAACTCTTGGAGAAGACTGAGGTGCTTTGAATAGTGGTTACGGGTTTTAATCTAACCTTGGAGTATCTGAGATACGTGGTGCTCTCTCAGGTCACGTATCTGTCTTCACTGTCAGACTGGACAAACATAACCTTACTCAATACCTATTATTATTATTATTATTACTATTATTATTATTTTGCAAGCAGAAATTGTAGAGCTCTGCCCGGTTAAATGATGGCGCTGGATGTTTTTCGATGTTGATAACCACACCTTTCTTTTCCTATTGCAGACGAGACTCCAATTATAGCTGTGATGGTGGCCCTGTCTTCCCTTCTAGTCATAGTATTTATTATTATTGTGCTGTACATGTTAAGGTAAGAGATGCTTTAATGCTGAGTTCCCTTGTTTGACAGAAGTTAATTACAGAATGAACAGGAATAAGCCTTTTGCGCTGTTTCCTAAGCTAAAGGCTGACACAGCCGCTGTTTTAAAAAGAAACCTGTAAGGATAATGAAAATGGTGTTTGGGGTTATCTAGTAAATGGTGCTTATTCCTTTCTCTATAAAGCTGATCCTCGTGTGGGGTACTGCCTGTTCTGCTACTGAAAATGTCATATTTAGTAGGATAGATTAAACTAAAGTTCTGTCAGTGCAGTTAAAAAGCAGGTAAGGTTTCCTTGCAAAGCTAAAGGTGTTGGACTGAGTAATCCAGGGAAGCTGAACACAGCGCTCGAGCTGGAAAGTCCTTTGCCTGTATAACCGGGTGTGTTATTCCTGGATTCCCATCTCGATATCGAACGTGATCCAACATCCAGAGCCAAGCTCTGCCTTGGGTACCAGACCTGTACTTCGTGCCTGTGCATCTTCCGCTGCGAGGTGACGTACGACCGGAGCTTGTTAGGAGCATTAGGTGATGCTGTAGCTGGAACTAGAACATAACAGAGCCTTTTTAGGTCCGTTTTTAAAAAATCCAAGCATCTGGGCTGCTCAAAATGTAGCATTCCCAGCTCCTGAGTGCATATCTGCTCAGCTAGAAGAGGGTGTTTGTTCACCTGCAGTAAAGATTTTAATTTACTCACCATTTTGGTGATTAAATAAGCGGGGGGAAAAAAAAAAAAAACACAATTTCCTTAACGGTGGAAAAATTCCCTTCGTCTCCTGGCTCCGGGCCTGCCCTCGCAGCGGTGAACCTGATGAGAGTTTTGCCTCAGGAGTTCGGCAGCAGCAGAGTTTGAGTCCTCCCCACCTGGCTTCCAGCCCTTAAAAAAAGGTTTTTTTGTTCGCCGCTGCCTGCCTGGTGATTCAGCAAAACCCTTAACTTCAGGCAAATGGAGCGTAAGCATCTGCTTCAAGTTAAAAGCACATGGAGAAGGGCTTTGCTGCAGAAGGGCGGATCAACCTGGAGTTGATGTGCTTTGCTGAATCAGCCCGTGGAGCAGGAACTCCTTGGGGTGTCCTCCATAAAAAGCAGCCTTAAGGCTTCTCCTCCTGGCTTTCACCTTGCTCTGGTCTCCTGCAGCCTTTCCAGATGTGGTCCGTTAAAAGTTACGCCCGTAAGCAGGATTTTAGAGGTCCCGTAGCCTCTTGGACCCACCAGCTAGTTCATCAAGCCGTAAGAAAGTGAGGAAAGCCCTTCGTGGCTGCATCTCTCATCCAGAAGGTAACCTGGGCTTCTTGGTGGGTATCTACTGATGTTCTCCGCTCCCTTTCTTTGGTAGGTTCAAGAAATACAAGCAAGCAGGGAGTCACTCCAACTCCTTTCGATTGTCCAACGGCCGGACGGATGATGCAGGTGAGTCCCACGTCGGTGCGACACGGGGAGCAAAAATGCATCTCACAGAAGGATTAAGCTTTGTTCAGATCAAAACGGGTCAATGCAAACGGTCCTAAGAATAACAATGGAATATTTTAGGAGGTTCCCCCCCTGCCCAAGCTTGGAATCGGCCAAAGTTAGCTAGTGAAATAACCAGCAATTCTCCTAAAAAATGTAAAAAATGCAAAAATGTCATAAAACCCTTGAAGTGGCAAAAGCAGGTTTGGTTTATGCCCTCCGGGGCAGCTCGCTGGCCAGCGCAGAGCTGCCCAGGTTGGTCTGCTGACCATTCTGCCTTTCCAATGGGCATTGCCTTCCAAGACGGCGATGAGACACGTGCAACTTGCTGGGCATGTGGCCAGCGTCGTACCCACGGCACCTTTCACTGGCCAGCTTGAATGGAAATGGGAACACGCTCGCCAAATACTGGTTTGCAGAGGTGGTTTGCTGGAAATGTGTAAAGAGGAAAATGAAGATTGTGTTCTCTTTAAGTATGGTCTTGGAAGGGCGTATGAAGGCGGTCCTGAGTGTATATTTATATTATTCCTGGTGGGAATAATATATATATTATACACCCAAATAAATATAAACACACCAGAATAATATAAATATTAAACAGCAGAAGACAGACCTCTGTAAAAGTCCAGGAGAGCCCGTGGATGCGGCGCTGTCGCAGTTTGAGCCCGGTGCAATGACAGCGCCTGAGGGCTCAGTGGGCTGGATGTCACGGCTTTGTTCTCCCACCTCATATTTTTGTAGGAAAGTATTTTTTCATCTACATTTTTCTTTGTTTCTTGTTCTGAACTTTCTCTGTTTTCCATGATTTTGGCAAACTTTTATAGAATGAAAATTTATTTCCCAACTTTCATTCCAGCGACAAAATGTTTGCCCTCAAGTGGTTAATATTAAAATGTGCAATCACTTCCAACACCGAACTACTCATGTTCCTCTTCAATTTTCACAATATCTCACTGACTCAAATAAGAACCTTTTTTGAAAAAACACGTCTTTCGGGAATAATTAAACATCCTTCTACCCTTTCAAATTAGGATGACAGCTGATTAAAACTCTCACGCAAATCTTCACACTAACTGTAGGCACCGAACTAACGTTTCTGAGAGAAAGCAGAGAATACATTGGTTTTTCGTTATAAGAACCTTTTTGGACACCTTAAAGATGCATAAATGCAATTTTAAAGTCTTGTGCAAGCCTGCTGTAATGTGTAAACTCTTCTGTCCCTGAGCTTGTCTCGTTTTCTGACTTTGAGCCAGAGCTGCCCATTGAGGGTCTGAAGTTGGGCATCTCTGTCCTTATGTGGGCACCAAAGCGGAATCGTAGAATCACAGAACAGTTTGGGTTGGAAGGGACCTCTCAAGGCCATCTAGTCCAACCCCCCTGCCGTGAGCAGGGACATCTTAAACTAGATCAGGTTGCTCAGAGCCCCGTCCAGCCTGACCTGGAATGTTTCCAGGGATGGGGCATCCACCACCTCTCTGGGCAACCTGTGCCAGTGCTTCACCACCCTCAGCATAAAGAATTTCTTCCTTCTATCTAGTCTATATCTACCCCCCTTTAGTTTAAAGCCATTCCCCCTTGTCCTGTCACAACAGGCCCTGCTAAAGTTTGCTGCCATCTTTTTTATAAGCCCCCTCCAAGTACTGACAGGCTGCAAGAAGGTCTCCACGAAGCCTTCTCTTCTCCAGACTGAACAACCCCAACTCTCTCAGCCTTTCCTCATAGCAGAGCTGTTCCAGCCCCCTGATCATTATTGTGTCCCTCCTCTGGACCTGCTCCAACAGGTCCGTGTCTTTCTTACGCTGAGGGCTCCAGAGCTG